GTCAGACTTACCACTGAGTTACCGGGAGGCTAGAAAGCCAGAAGAAAAAGTGCTTAATCTGAAATATCGTACTTGTCCAAAGTTCAGAAATATAGTACGAGTGATGTTATAAATAAAACGATTACCAATGTCTGTGAAGCCTGATAACACAGTTTGTAAAAGTAAAACTTAGTATATGGCATGATAAGAATGACACATTGAGACTTGTTACTTTTAAAGTGTATGAAATGTTTAAAGATAGAAGAAAGTTGACAGAAATACATATTACAAAGTTTTGATTCTTTCTAATATTAGGCTATAAACAATTCCAAAAGTTATTTCGTGCAAAGCTATTCAAGGGCTATCTTCTATAAAATGATAATTTAAAAAAGTCAATTAATATGAACGGGTGGAAAAAAACTCTTACGTAAAGAACAACTTACAATTGTTTGTTTTAGAATTTTCATGAAAAGCTACACAAAGGCTATCTACGTATAACAGTCATCACTTTTGATTGATACGCAAAAGGAAAGACAATTATTAACAATACCCACCGCCAATGGTTGGGCTACCCTTTTCTGATCAAACAGTGAAATTTGAACGTCACTTTTAAAACGCACTCACTGCCCAAAATAGGAAGTTCAATGTTTTTGATTTTTGAAACAATGAGGTGTGAACCATGAACCCTTGGGTCCACAGTCTGGACATGATTTATTTTATCTTATTTGCATAACTCTCAAACATCCTCTTCAAAACGGTCCAACACTGAAATCTGTTTCTGTAATTTCGAACATGCACAGAGTTGAATACGCATACATGTCTCGTAAAATAAAACCCACCACGTCTCTCAAACGGTACCTGCAATATCTCTTAAACAATAGGACGTGTTTTAAATTAAATATTCCGTTTGCTCGGATGATTCAAAACTTAGAAAGGAGTCGATAATGTTTATTTTAGGGTTTAGATTCGACTCACTGATGAAAGAACGAAGTCTTTATCCATTCCGGTTTTGTATATCTTAAATTTATATATATATTAATTGTTAGCAGGTTGTAGTTAATCATTCAAACACAAAAATAGCTCAAAGTACGATAACAACTGGAATAATGCGAATCATTATTTTTTTTCATTGTAAGCAAAGGAGTTTAAAATTGAGCCAGAACGCTCAGAGGAAGCAGTGGGTTTTTACAGTTCTTTATGGTCGACACATTTTCTACATAACGCCAAAGGATTCTATTTTATCGCTGTTGTTTTTCTTCTGTATAGTCTACTGTCCCAGGAATGAGTTGTACGTTATTTATACAGAGCAGCTCTGGCGGATTATGTCATTTATGAAATGTTATAGCTCGTCGCCTTTGAACTTGGACGCTGCTATTCTTAGGCGAAAATTAAACTTGGAGAGTTTGTTTGTTAAATTTTCGAGCAAAGATACGCGAGGGCTATCTGCGCTATTCATTTCTAGTTTTGAAATGATAGCTTAACCCCCCCCCCCCGTCAACTCTTAGGCTGTTCTTTTACCAAATAATAGTGGGATTGACCACATTATAACGGCTGAAAGGGCGAGCATGTTCGGAGATTAATTTCGATTTCGCGACCCGCAGATTTCGATCCGAGTTCTCTAAACTCAAAGTCATGCCAGGGTCAAATTTGAAAAACAATTTTAATATTTTCCAGAAAAAAAAACGAGTTAAATTTAAATGCTTTTACAATCTACCGTAACAGATGCATTTCCAGCATTATGAAATCTTAGTATTTTCTTGTATTTGATCTTTATAGATCCTATTATATGTAGTTGTAGGTTTTATGGCATACAATAAAATGTTTCTTGACAATTAAGTTGTAACATGTGAATGGTATGTAGCATCAGTGTAATATTTGATTCTAGTCCTTTTAATAAAGCAATTATATTACTTTTGTTGTTTAAACAATGACACTGATCACTGACGATCATTTAAATGTGATCTTGATTGAAGATATTTAATAACGTATCGATTTTGAGGGCGGACATTTGAAACATATTCTATATGTTTATAGTTATTCAGCCTGTGGCAACAGATGTTTGGGACACCCTGTACATATTACGTTCTTCAGTAGCTCATTCTTGATATCAAACAGATAAATATGGAGGAAGGTGTTTGACTGTACTGATTGAAGGAATGTTTTTCTTTTTAATTTTTACTTGTTGCTGTTTAATTTTATCAACAAAAATATAACGCACCATGCTGGCACATCTCAAGATTTTTGTTTCAAGCAACCATCAAGGTATTTACTTTATTACCAGAAATAATTCGGCACATTTTGA